GCTCATGCTCCCGCATAGCGCTCGCACCGGACGACGTGCGGCTCTCTCTACTCTTTCCATTTCCATTTGCCACCCTACAGTCACTGGACCCTGACTCTAAACCTGCGTCGTCCCCGCCGAGCCCAAACCAGCCTCTCCATCCTCCCTTGGCACACGCATGGTGCTCCGCATGAGACCCGCACTGTTCGTGCCGATGGTGCCCACCCATGAAAATCTCATCTCCTGGACGATTCGGCTCGATGGTCATTGCCGGGGGATGCGGGGGATGCGTCGAACGCGGGAATGTATGTGCGTACCCGACCGGGCGTGGGCGGCCGTTCGCGTTGGTGCCGTACTTGACGGGTGGTGCAGGATTTCGGGAGGACACAACGAGGGGCGTGGCCTCATCTACCTCCACCTCCCTATCCTCGTCCTCGTCCACCTCTTGCTCAGACTCGGGTGACGCGAGCGCGAGAGGTACACCGGAAAGGTGGCTCGCTCCGCCTTCCTCGTCCTCTTCGTCTTCTTTTCGTCCCTGCTGATCGTTCGGCGTCCCATTCAAACGCTCAGCGAGCTGGGTTGGAGAGATGGTAGGTGAGGATGCGGGAGAGAGCGAGGGCGTAGAGCACGGCGAAGGAGGCACGGAGGCATACGACTGGAGGCGGTCGACGTACGAGGTAGTGATATCTGCAATAATAGACAAGATGTTAACGAGGAGGACGAAGGCGGAAGGAGCAGGTTGGGAACGTACATTCGACGAGAAAGATAAGGAGTAGGGAGCTCAGCCTGTGCAGAGAATCGTATCGATGCATCACGAACAGAAAGACAGATAAAACTTACACGATCATCCCCACCCACTTTGACACGCCATACCTCTCCTGCACTTCGGGGTTCATACCTCTCCTGCACTTCGGGGTTCATCAAGGCCTCAAACGCGTCCTGAAGGAGGTGCACAAAGGCGGTCGCCAGAATGATGCCTGTGCCAAAGTGCTTTCCAACGAAGAAGACGACACCCGGGATGCGGATGCCGGGGATGCGGCGCGAGAGAGCAGGAAAGCATGATGCTGCCAGGGAGTCTAATCAACAACTCCGCGCAAAAAAACCGAATGAAGACTACACGCACCGAAAAGAGAGACAAGAAAGACAGCAAACATGAGCCACACACGTGTATGCACCCATTGCACTGTCGAGGTCGCTTCGTCTGACACCGTCCATGCGCTGAGTGACTGAGTTGGATGGTCGCTCGAGCCGTCGAAGGCAGTTTTTCTCCCTAACCTTTAAAGAGGCCAGCCATAGGCATGAGGACGGGACGTATAAATTAATGTCATGGAATGTGAGATGGCTGCGGGGCAGATACGGTCCGAAGTCGGCCCTGTAATAAATACGGTCAGCTGAGAGCGTGATACTCACAAAAGGTATTGACACATACCAGTGTCGCACGGTATGTTTCTCCTACAGGTCCGATTAGCCTCAAGTGTTTGAGAGACGAGCGGTGAAGGGAGGTGATGGGGAGGCGACTTGGAATAGATGTTGAAGAGGGAGGACGGGGACAGTGAGGACCACACCGGTCACCTAGGACAGATTTGCTTACATAACTGGAGGGATATTTCGGGGACCAATCGGTCGTTTTCAACAGCCTAATTGCCGGAGTTGTGGCCAGCAGCGCTGAGCATATCCATACTGGTCGCCTCTTCTTCTCCTGAATATCCTAATGAATGTCCAGTGAGATTCTCGTGGGTAATTCCAATAGCTTGTTGATGCATGGCAGAGACGTTTGACAGATCGATGACAGCCAGGATAAGTATCCTCTGAGTTTGATAAATCCCGGGTTCATCCCTCAGACGGGCGACAAGCAGGCCATATACCTTGGAAAGGAAATCAAGTACATCAAACAGTGAGAAGCTCGTTCTATGTGTGTCACCGACCGAGAGAACGACTGACACGTTGCGCACAGAGGAAGTAGTGAAGCAACCAAGGGAGTGCATCCGAACAGTCAGCGCAAACTGATTGGATGCATTCGACAATCTAGGTGCTGAGCCAAGGCATTCGACAACTAGAAGGCTATCAGAACGAGTATACTCGGAGTTCGATGAGGTCCAGATGCTGCAAGTAATAGGCGATACGCAGGCTGCATGAGACCGTCAGCGAGAGAGAAGAGTGAGTGAACTCAAGCATGCGGGCGGACTGAGTGCAGGGTCGGGGGGAGAGAGGATCAGCGCATTCGACGGCGAGAGGGTCCTCATGTGCACGAGACTGGCAGCGACAAGCACCTTTGAGAGACGTCACGCTCCGAATAGGCCAAGTTGTGACGCATACATGCATGAAGCCATTGAAGCGATCAGAAGTAGCGCATCCAAAAAATAACATCCACATGCCAGCAAGAGCACGATCTGGACGACCGCTGCCCGGAACTCGCGCAGTCATTTCAAGGCTGGTAAGCAATCACGTGATCTCTGCTAAGGCTTGGGAGTGCACGTGCAGCTGCTAAGTAGTCACATAACACCAGGTGCCACCGCAGACATGAAGCGATTTGCACATGTGGCAAATGCTTAGCAAATGTCAACAAGTTTTTTGCCTTTGTGATCTCAATTTGCTATGATTCCTTCCCACATTCTGTATTAAGTATTTGCATATAATATGTTG